AAGACCACCACAAAAAAAAATAATGCAGAAGGGTCAGTCACTTCTAGATCAAATGATGCATAGAAACAAAACAGAAAAGCCGAACTAAAATCCAAATCTGCAAACTCAGTTTCAGTATTCAAATGCACTCACTCTGCCAGGAAGGGAATCCTTCTCAGGGAAGCCTTTTGAAACACTGCCCAGTATTTCCTTTTTATTTTCTCAACATTTAGTTGCATTACAAATTTGACTTAACTACACAACGAGAAAAGCAGTTGTTCCATGTGTTACTCTGCAGAGAAAATGCATTTCACCATTAATGCTACCTATTACTACTTTGTAAACAGAAGATTATTTACCCTTTGAGAAAAAAACATTTCAGAACCAAGCTAAGGTAACCACAGGCAATAAATTTACCCATCAAATCAAACTTTAATTGGGCTTGGAGTTTCAAAACAGGGAAAATATAAAAGTTAAGCTAAATAAATTAAACACAAAAAAATAAATCTTGCTTACTGATGATATTTTGGCAGATTCTCTGTGGAGTCATAAATTCAGGGAAATTTAGCATGTAGATGAGAAATAAAGAGGAGGGAAGCAGGCAGATGAACCACGGTGGGAAAGCAATTGTAAGTTAATTCAGGATGTATTCTGCCTAACATTGATGAAGATCTAAATGAGAGCTCTTTAAATTGCACACATAGATCCAAGTCCTGGTGTGATTCATATTCTAACTTCAGATCTCATACGTCCTGCTGAAATATATAAAGCTTGCTTCAGTTAGCAAAGGAAGCTCAGTTTGGTACCTTGGCTTTTTTAGAAATTTTGGTCGGAATACCAGAGTTAGGCAGCAACACTTTGTGAAGTCTAACATTAACAGACAGACTCCTTTGTCTGCCTTTCCTTCAGTGCCTGAAAAGCAAAACATAGTGCAACTACAGGGTGAGAACACCAACTATGGAACTGACAGCCGAGAAAACACAGCGACACAATTTGCAGTTGTCTGCTTAATTTTTAGAGAAGTATCACAGAATGGTTTGGGTTGGAATGGACCTTTGAAGATGATATAGTAATTTCAGTCATATATTGTTTTCTGGTCTGCTGTATTAGTAACAAATACTCTGCAGTGTTACAGACTAAACCTTTCTATATCCATGACATCAGCAGAAGATCAGCTGCTGTGGTATCCTGGCGGGTACCTTCGGAAGAATGGAGTGAAGACAGGAGCTCCTGTTTAGTTCAGGGACTTTGAAAGGAACTGAGAACGCTTTGCCACTTCAAGAACTGGGCCATTCCTATAAAACTTGATGCACTAATTCTCAGCTCAAAGCTGCTTCAGTGGCTCTCAGAAGCACATGCACAATTAAATGTTGCAAGATGAGCCTATATTTTGAGCTATTGTTTCCTTGGTAAGTGGGAAGAAAGAGCAGAAACAGAATAGTGATGCAGGCAGGGAAGGGTCTGCAGAATTGGGCTCCGACATCTGTCCCTGGGCAGAATCACAGAACCAGGGAATCACCAAGGCTGGAAAAGACCTTTACGATCAACAAGTCCAGCCTATGACCAACACCACCACATCGGCCAGACCATGGCACTAAGTGCCACATCCAGCCTTTCCTTGAACACACCCAGGGATAGTGCCTCCACCGCTTCCCTGGGAAGTCCATTCCAATTTCTAATCAATGTCTAATCACCATCTCCGTGAGGAAGTACCTAAATCTCCCCTGGAGCAGCTTCAGGCCATGCCCTCTTGACACCAGTTGCCTGGAAAAAGAGCCCAGCCCCCACCTGACTACAACCTCCCTTCAGGTAGTTGAACAGAGTGAAAAGGTCCTCCCTGAGTCTCCTCTTCTCCAGGCTAAACAACCTCAGCTCTCTCAACCTATCCTTATAAGATTTTCCCTCTAGTCCTTTCACCAGCCTTGTTGCTCTCCTCTGGACCTGCTCCAGCACCTCAATATCCTTCTTGCAGTGAGGGGCCCAGAACTGCACAGAACTCGAGGTGAGGCCTCACCAGTGCTGTGTACAGGGGGAGAATCACATCCCTACTCCTGCTGGCCACACTATTCCTGACACAGGCCAGGTGGGGTCCAGGCTCCCCCTCTCCCATCTTATCACGGTAGTACCTGCTACCTCACACAACTACACGATTTTCTTGCAACTGCAGCCATATGCAGCCCAGTCCTCCCAGGTCCTAGAAAAAGCAAAATCTGAAGAAAACACTGTTACTTTGGCAGTCGGAGGAGTCTGCAGCCTCCTGCAGAACCATCACTGTTCTCTTAAGACTAGAATAAACCCGGCCTCACCCATTTAGCTAAATCAGTCATTCAGTGAATTACACGTGGCTTATGATAAATATAAACCTTTTGAAACAAGCCACTTGGTAAGTCCTGAAAGCCAACAAATGCAGAGCTTGGTGATTTGGCAAAGGGAGGGATGTCTGCAGAGGGACATCTATTGCTGGATGTGCTCTGTGACCAGAACGGGAGAGGTCAGTGTGCTTTCCTGGTTAGCCTCATCATTTGTGAGCAAGATGCAGATCAGTGAGAACTTTATATCTGCACTGATAAGCAACTAGAAGGCAAGGCAGTGCACAATGCACTCCAGCATGCCACAGTCAGCCTCCTTTGCTAAGGTATAGAAATTGCATTTCCGTACACGATCTGTTTGGGTTGATATTGGCATGAGGATTCACTTGGCTTACATGTCGACTGGAAGTCCAGTCCTGCTCAGAGAGCTGCAGGCAGTGTTCATTAGCAGGCAGAGCATTTATTTGCATCTGGCAAGAAGAAAAATCGCACAATAATTCTGTTTGACATCTTCTGCTGCATCTCGCAGATTTTGGAGTCGCTGTACAAGACATCAGCAGATGAGTTGTGGAGGGCTCTGGATCTCACAGTAATATTTGTCCTAGACGCTGATGGCTGCAAGATGGTAAAGTATTTTTTGCTGACCAGAGCAGCATCAACTCTTGCACAATAACTGCTGCTGGATAGAGCAATGGAGAAAGACAGTAAGAATTTTCTAGCTCGGTTGCACTTCCTACTTGAAAATGCTGTGCTTGAGTCATTTATATGGAGGTTACTTTTGTTCTCATTTTTATAGTTCCACTTATTC